TAGCAGTTCAAAAGCAAGTAAAAAATGCAAGTAGAAAAATAGGAACCACCTTTGGTGGGAAGGTAACAGCGTTCCGTGCGCCTTTGGCATTGAGTCATGCCGGCCACATGACCACGGAGACGTCTTTGGCCCTCGCTGGCTCTTTGGATTTGAAACAGAAATGAGCACTGCCCCCTAGAGTTGGGAACGACTAGCACATATGTGCAAGAAGAACCTTGACCTTTACCTGGAGATTTCTTGGTTGGTTTTCCCCCAAATACAGTATGCTTTTGCCTTCAGTTGGTAATCTTCTCTGACTCTCAGGAATAAGGCAACCTCATTTTTAATTGCTGGACATTCTCTTGCTCAGCTCAGAATCGAAAAAATGCTGTGGGCTCTTGGAGAGCAACAGGTAATCCTCGACTTACGACAGTTCATTTAGTGACCATTCAAAGTCACAACGGCACTGGAAAAAGTGACTTACGGCAACCATTGTTCACATTTATGACCATTGCAGCATCCCCACGGTCATGTGATTTATATTCGGATGCTTGACTACTGACTCACATTTATGACGGTTGCAGTGTCACCGGGGTATGAGTGTCACGGGATCCCCTTTTGGCGACCTTCTGAGCAGCAAAGTCAACAGGGAATCCAGATTCACTTAACAACCGGGTGACTAATTTAACAGCTGCAGCGATTTCGGTTAACCAATGTGACAAAAAAAATGGGGGGGGTGTAGAATGGCGGCAGAGCTCACTTAACCGATTTCTCCCTTTGCTACATATATTTTGGGCTCGGTTGTGGTCATAAGTCGAGGACTACCTGTATCGCACGGTTTGCACAGGAAGGAAAAAGAGAAAGTTTATTCGATTCTAAGAACCGACTGTGAAATGCAACATGCTTTAAAAAAAACAACAGCTAGGGGTGGGATTCAGCCGGTTCGGACCGGTTCAGGCGAACCGATGCTAATTTTACATCTGATTCACTGAACCAGTATTTGCAAGGACTGGCTGGCCCTGCCCACCCCACTCTGCCCCTCCTTGGAGTCTCCAGGTGGCCTGTTTTTTACGCCAGGTAAGTGCAGGGCCTGCGCAGAGGGAGGACGAAAACAGGGCCTCCCGGAAGTACCGGAAGCCTGGGGGGAGGCCGTTTTCGTACTCCTGGAGCCTCAAGGAAAGCCTGTGGAGCCTGTGGAGGGTGAAAAAGTCCCCTCCCCTGCTGTGGCGCAGGAGGCCAAGTAGGCCATGCCCACCTTGGCCACGCCTACCCAGCGACCGGGCAGAGAACTGGTTCCTAATTTTTTTTAATCCCACCCCTGACTACACAGCTGCATGGTATCATTTGGGTGGTAATTAGCATGTTTCTTCCTCCCTCCCCCAGGGCAAGCACTGTTAGTTGACTTGTTAGTCTCCAAAGGCGCTGTTGTCACTGCCACGGATTACCATGGGTCAACACCCCTTCATCTCGCCTGTCAAAAAGGATACCAGAATGTTACAGTAAGCTACAAAGAGTCTGTGAATCATGTTGCGCTGTGTGTAGTTTCGTTTTTATTTATAGACAGACATAAGCGTTGAGTCACCCAAAAGCAAAATCTGGGCTGGGTTGCTTTAAAAGTGGAATGGCGGCTTTTTTAAGGATACAGGTAGTCCTCGACTTACGACCGTTAATTGAGCCCAAAATTTCCGTGGCTAAGCAAGACAGCTGTTAAGTGAGCTTGGTCCTATTTTACGACTTTCCTTGCCACCGTTGTTAAGTGAATCACTGCGGTTATTAAGTTAGTAACATGGTTGTTAAGTGAATCTGGTTCCCCCATGGACTTGGCTGGCCAGAGGTTTCAAAAGGTGGATCACATGACCCCGGGACACTGCAACCGTCCTAAACACAGGCCAGTTGCCAGGCATCTGGATTTTGATCACGGGAATGCTGCAAAGTCGTAAGCGTGAAAGATGGTCATAAGTCACATTTTTCAGTGCTGTTTTAATTTCAAACGGTCACTGAATGAATGGTTGTAAGTCGAGGATACCAGAGCTATAACTTTCTTCATCCCTCCCAGAGTCCTTAGCGACATTCCTATTAGCTGAGGAGTCAGGCCTGGAAGCCATCTTTTGCATTGGGCCCTTAGGCCTGCCACATTTATTGCTGTGGGAAACTGGGAGGGGGGATTATATGGAGTAAGGGAGATGTAGTCAAAATAAGATTCCTTTCTCAGAGAGTCAAGGACATGTTGCCCTGCACCTGAATTGGCGTGACTGGGAGGCATCTCCATTTTTTGTTCTGACCCCCCTTCTCTGTCCAGGAACGAAAGCCGGAAACAAAAGTAAATGAGAATGTTTTTTAATCAGTCCTGACTCTCGTTGG